GTTATTTGCAGTTGTTGGTACACGCCGTCAGTTGAACGAGAAAGTCAGTAAAATGGCCGACCCTGCAGCGTACCAAGATTGTCTCTCTCTCTTTAGAGTAGTTATTGGCAGTTCTTGGTACACGCCGTCAGTTACAAGTTCTGGAGAAAGTCAATGGAATGGCTTTGCGCTGTAAAAATCACAAGCATGTACCAAGATTGCCTGTTTCTCTTTAGAGTAGTTATTTGCAGTTGTTGGTACACGCCGTCAGTTGAACGAGAAAGTCAGTGGAATGGCCGACCCTGCAGCGTACCAAGATTGTCTCTCTCTCTTTAGAGTAATTATTGGCAATTCTCGGTACACGCCGTCAGTTACAAGAGAGAGCCAATAGAATGGCCGCCCTGCAAGGACGTACCAAGATTGCCTCTGTCTTCATAGATCAGTTATTGGCACTTCTTAAGATATACGCCATTGCCATTGGCCTATGTCTCAAGATCCACTCGACGCTCTTTCATACTGGGCACGTGCGTCTCTTCATACAAGTGCAGAGTCAACCGTCATTCCGTCAGATGTTGGTAAGAGGTCAGCCAACTATGCTTGGTATACTTAGAGGAATGCGTTTTGTCATATTGATAACTTTGTTACCTTCGTGCAGGATGGCATCGACCGTGCTTGTCGTCGGCGCACCTCTGCTCCTCACCTCGACCGCTCCGGAGTCCAACGCCGGCTTGCACTCCACGCTGGCTGCTGGCGAGCAAGTTCGGGCCTTTGCCGCCATCACGATCGGCGGGTCCGACGGCTGCTCTTCTCAACCCGATCACAAAGTCACGTTCTCGGACCTGAGGACCGTTCCGGCTGCAGTCACACCGTTGCCAAACGCCGGAGGAGTACGAGGAGGGCATCCGTCCTACACCGCACGACGAGCGCACGGTGACTTCCTCTTCGACTACGGGTTCGCCTTCTGCCTCCATCAATCGCAGGCGTTCACGAAGCGCGGTTTTGGATCCACTTGCATCGGAAGCACGTGCATGGGGAAGGTGCCCCTCTACTCCCGCAGTTTGGATCCTTTCCTCTGGGATCGGAAAAGGAACCGTGGCGGTGCGATCATCTGCCCTGGTGGAGGAGGTCACCTTCTCTGCCTCCGCTGTCTTGACGCGCTTTACGCTGGGGGTCGGCCGTTCGTTTCAACCGCCACGGGGGAGGTCGTTGACCTTGGTGACCTCTTCAGGAAGTACGAGGCCTTCCCCGCCTCGGGGGAGCTGAAGGAGGCACAGCTGGGGCAATCTGCGGCGGAGGGGGGACACCAGTTCTTCGTACAAAGACGGGATCTGGTCGCATGCCCGTTCTGCAAGGAAAGTCGACAACGAAACCGGGGCCGCCCTGAAAGGAAGAGGCTCGAATCCGGGCCGACTCCGAAGGAACTCGGCTCAGCCGCGATCTTTGCGGAGTTGAAGCGAAGCGCGGTTCCTCCAACGATCATCGCACCCGGCCTCTTTCTCCTGCCGCAACTGGACGTCAACTGCCGGCTCATCGACATCTCGTTGAGGGACGGAAGGCCCGTCAACGTCCCCAGGCTCGTCCAGGTGGACCACTTGGGTGACTACACCTGCATGTGCGGCCAGAGGGCGTGCAGAGAGCACGACATCCGTTTTCTCAGAGAAATCGCTTTTCTCGACGGATGGTGGCAGTCGGTTTCGAAGGAGGTCGAGCCCCTCTTCGGCTCGTTCAACGGCAAAAGAGGTTCGCACGGGAGGTGACGGGTACCGGACTCGGACGAGTGCTCCCACTTGATCGGGACGGTCAGCTTGGAGTGCCTCTGACTGGCCTCAATGCGGAGGCCTGGCTGGGGCCGCAGCTGCGCGTCTTTGTGACCTCTGAGGGAGCCGATGACTCTCCGGCGGTCTGCGTGCTCGGTGGAATGAGCGCCTTCTGCAGCAGATGCTCGGAACGGGAGCGGTGTCCGCACGTACAGAGGGTGCTTACAGCAACGGGGGTGGGAGATGGGGTTCAGAGCGGGCCTGCTCACAAGGCTACCGAGAGGGCAGCAACAAACTCGGACAAGCGTGCGGAGAGGTCAGCGCTTCGAGCGTCGGGACAGAGGAACATCTGGGTCTGCAACGACCCCATGTGTCGAAGGCCCGACTCAAAGGCTGCGTGCGTGCATGGAGGCACGCTCGAGGAGTGGGAGTGCCTCCCTGCAGCAGCCTTGGACATGGGGCACAGCCACAAGAAGATCGACACAGTCATGAGCAGGGGTGGGCAGCAGGTCACGAGCCTCTGCGAACGATGGGGTGATGAGGGGATCCGGAGGCGGGATGGGGCAAAGTACTTCTGCGCGCCGAGGCCCGTTGAACCGCTCTCACCTTGCGGGCGGCTATGGCAACTGGAGAGCAGGAGAGGATCGCTCTATACGGCTGGGGCGCGGTATCCGGTGATGACGTACCGGCGGGTGTGTACAACCGCACCAGGACGAGAGGCGGCGTGCTGCTCGGTGGCTTACGACGGTCAGGTAAGATCTAGTTCTCACCACCTGGACCAATTACCGATTGCTCCGTGTTTATTGCACTTTGTGCACGCCGTTGCTTTTTCCTTTTAGCCTTAGCACCTTGGAATGCTTTGAAGCACTCTGGCCCGCCGTGTGTCCGAATGGCAAGCTTATGCACGTCGGATTTCAGATAATACCGGGTCTTTAGCCTCTTTTCTGGATGCGGCACCCATTGCAAGTTGGACAAGTCTTGTACGTGATACAACTTGCGCGCCTCAAGAGTGGTCAAGCAGCCAAGTAGCGACTCGTACCCTGTATGAATGCAATAATCGCAGACTACAAGCTCCTCGTGGGGAGGCAACGGCCACACCAAATCAGTAAGACGGCCGCACTTGGAGCAAGCTTGCCACGGCCGGATCTCCATCAGCGGTTTAGGACCAGGTGTTCGATTGAAAGGCACCGGGAATTCGTGCATCACACCTCCAATATACGCTTGGGCGTCTTTGCAGGTTGATGCGGAAGCTGCCAAGTCTCGAAGAGAAAGGGCACCCTTTTGACCGATGACGCTCAATGCTGAGGCGAACTTCTCATTTGCAGCCATGGTTGTCCCTTTAAGACGCCAATCAAAACTACTGGTTGGTTTCAAACGTAGGATTCGAATGATTGAATGTATCTCTCTATTTCCTTGCAGGAGGACGCCATCTTCAACTTCTCCGGGACGACGCTCATCTCGCACGGCCTCCTGCTGCGCAACCACTTTGCGGCAGCCTTGGGTGCTTCCCATTCGCTCAACTTTGACGCCAACGACATGGCGACCAGAAGCCTTGAAGGCCCGAGCGCATCCAGGCTGGACGACCGCGTCTTTGACGCAGCGATGCAGGCCTTCAACGATCTCGCAGCCCGGCCTCGGATCCAGCACGTCTGCAAACGTCCTGATTGCGCTCATCTGTACACGTCTGAAGTTCGAGCTGCTGAGGCAGACGCAGCGAGAGCTGGGTACCCACTCCAACCGGAGCGGACCGAGGGGTCGCCCCTGAACCTTTCAACCTACGCCTTCAGCCGGGATAAGGTCATCACGTTCGACGGCACATTTTTCCCCAACTCCAGTGCTATGCGGGATAGCAGCGAGGCCTCTCTGTATAGCATATGTGAGCCGGACCCGGGCGCACCTCGCGTGGCAGGGGGTTTCACCCCTCTGAGCGTCGGTGGGGTGCGGCCCTCGGACGTTCCTCTCGAGGGGATCGACTGCCCTTGGAAGTTTAGGAACGGGCTGTCGGAGCTGAGGCCGGCCGTACGAGCAGCGGCCTTCCGATGGTGTAACTTTCGGAAGGGCCAGGGTCAGGGGGCCAACTTGCCTCTTTCGGCGGAGGAGTTCGTTGCCATGCGTCAGGGGTTGCCGGCAAACGTGAGGGCCCTGATCGACCTTGCGACAGAATCCGGGGCCTGTGCTGATCCCAAGAACTGCGCCATCTGCAAGGCGGTCCCGCGCCGGCCTTGGATGGACGAGGTGTTGAAGAAGGGTCCTGTAGCGCCCACCGGTTGGTGCCCGACCCATTTCCAGCCATATGCGGCCCTCCTGCACGCCCTCCTGATACCCCGCTACAGCTGGGTTTTTGGCCACATCGTGACACTGAAGCTCCTTCGACGTCTGTTGCTGGAGGGGCCTCTGGACGACCTGGAGCTCGCTTACCTCGCCCAGGATGGGCCAATGCTAGCCAACATTCTCCGACTGCACGTGCAAACGGTTTCTCCAAGGCAATACGCGTTTCCAACGGCACTGCGTCCGCTCATTCGGGACATCTACGCCACCAACCTCCTCTGTTCAACGAACCGAGTGCCAACCGCCCTGGCAGCGCCTCAACTTGCTCCCCTCTCGCTGCCCTCCTCGATGCTACGGAGCATCTGTGGGCCTTGGAGTGTGAGAGACGTCGGTCTCTGGGCAACTCAGGAGATCCTGGCATGGTCTATACGGAACAGCGTGGAATTGCGCTCAAGGGGGCCGCCAACGCTCTCCTCTTCGAGATTGAGGTTCGAGAGCCGCAATGCTACGGTTCTGATGGCTTTCTACGGGAGGCCTCGGCTGTCTACAAGGAGCGCGTGGGGGCCGTGTCAATCTACGACTTCCATCCGCTGCTCTATGGCCGGCCGCAAAAGTTCACGGATTGGGAGGACGCATCCGGTCGGGGGAAGAAGGGCTCGGAGGAGCGGCTTGCGCAGCACTGTGGGGCCCCGAATCCTCGCTCGTCGAAAGGCCGAGCGGGGATGTTCATTGCATGCTGCCAGGATCGCGCGCCCCTCGGCTACCATTGGCTTAAGGGTGGCGAGAGCGTGTCCGATAAGTTGGGAACGGTCCTGATCACACGCTTCCCCTTCAAGACGCTGCGCGGCCTGACGATAGTGGAAGACGCTGCCTGTAATGCCCAAGAGTGGCTTCTCAACCGGTGAGTGATACAAGTTGCTTAACTTGTGCATCTCCATTAACTTGAGATGCATTAATGTTGTGGGTCTTCAAGCTTCTATTGAGCTTTGGTGACCGAAACGCCCTATGCATGCAAGTTTTCCGTTCATGGCCTTTACTAACAATCTTTACAACTCTCTTTTGTGCAGGGTGCCACAGCTGGCAAAATATATGCTCTTCCTCGTCGACCGCTTTCACTCTGGCCCAATCAGCTGCGCGCCCGCTGGAGCGGCCAAGCGTTATGCGACGCACACTTGCTCGCCGACTTTGTTCATCGACTCCTACTCGCAGCACGATCATACCGTGACAACAGCCAGTGAAGGGATCAATTCGGGCTTAAAGCGATCGGCGGCTAGTCTCCAGCAGATCACAAGCATTAGACGCTTGATGAGTAGGATCACAACGATTCTTGACACTCTGTTTGAGAGATCGAAGTATGCACTGTATTATCAGTCTCAAAGCGATGTTAGGAGCAGTCCGCTACGGGAGATTATCAGGGCGTCTCGTTAACGACAGGAGCCCGCCTTGCTCTTATGACTGTATTACTCTATTACCCACCTGGAAGGTCCGAGACGCTCTTGACGCCTCCTAACAATCCAACATGGCCCGGCCATCAAAAGCGACATTGCAACCTGTTGAGAGGGTAATAGGGTAATAGGGTAATACGGATCTCAGATTGCGATCGTTTGTGGGTTGGGTCATGTGTGATGTATAAAGTTATGAGGGTAATAAGGGGGTAATAAGCACTTTGGTACTACTTGTACAGTCGAGGCCTCATTGTCTTCTGGAAAGGGCCATTTCATTGTTCGGACTCCTCCTCCTTGCACGCACGCACGTGACTTTGTGAGCAGTTCGTGCACAACGGTAAACCCTCAGGAGAAAGTCTGACGGTCGATGGGCCTGCTGTGGGGTCCTTTTTGGCCATGTAATGGTCCTTGCCGTCAGTATCTTCCTTATAGCCCGAGTATCGACACCATCGTCCGACCCACTCAATGGTAGACGACCACAACTTCTCGGAATGCAGAGCTTTGCATATGATTCCTTCCGGGGGGAACCACCATCCCTTGTGTGTTGGGATTTTCTGGATGCTTCTTGCTTGAGGTTGCATATCAAATTTGCCGTTGAGGTTACTAATTAGGACATTGACGTCCATATGTCGGTCCTCTTTGATGTCGAGTGCCGAGAGAAACGTATCGTATGTCGCTTTAATATCCACCGAAGCTACCCAAGTTTCTACAGAAGGGTGAAAGCAACCGTTCTCAAGCAGCGCCTGCATCATCTTGACGTGTGGAGGTATGGAGTGATCCTTTAAACTCTCGCCCCATGCGGTGACTGGGATCGTCTGCGGATTCCAATCAGAGATGTCGATCGAAGAGAGGTACTTATAGAAGCTCAAAGCCGTTTGCGGATCTTGGAGCTCTTTTATGAGACCGTCGAAGTACTCCTTGTTGCCAACCATGGCGCCAGAGCATTCCTGGCAGGAATACCGCCGATCCCCCGCCTCTCGTTTGACCGGCCATGTATTATTTGTTGTGAAAATAATGTTGCTCACGTCCTTGGTCTTTATGGCATCAAAACCCTTCTTTTCTACGCAGGTCTCCGACTCTGTTATCAGTGACTTCATCCGATCGTTGAGCTTGTAGGCTCCTCCCCAGTTTCCAGCCTCGTCAAAGACGATCAACAACCGATTGGCAGATAATGCATTGAATTGACCGATCACCTTTTCGATCTCATTGCAATATAGATAGTTTTTGCTTCCAATGATCATCATCCCCAAGAAGTCGGCCAACATGGATTTGCCGCACCCTTGCGGGCCTCGAAGAACCCAGGCAACTCCGATCTTCTTTCTTGGTCTTTGAACGGCGTGGGCCATCCACTTGACGTTGTATGCGAATCTTGTTTCGCACCCGTCGCTGAGGATGGCCCTGATGTGCCACATGAGCTTGGGCATTTGCAACTCACAGTCGGCCATCTCGGAAGGTTCTAGCTTTTGCAGAAGAGGCTTGAACTCCAGTCCGCAGAATAGGTTGAAGTGACGCGAAGTAACCTTGCTTAGGTCAGGCTCGAAGACAATCCGGTCGTACTCCTGTCGCTTCGAGTTGCTTTCCCAGAACTTTGCAGCTTCCTTGTTCTTGCCGGGCAGACAATCCAACTGAATGTTCCTGCACCGTTCAATAAAGTTGTGGCCTGGCCTTTCTATCACCTCTTCTCGTTGGAGGTTGCCGTCTTTGTCACGGCAGAAGACGAGCTCGGTATAAACCGTCTTGTTTCCTCCAATCACAACCGCAAAATAGGCGTTCATCACCTTGATAAGAAGATTGTACATGTCGTTCCTGCGCTTCTTCCTTTCAGCCGCTTCCTCTTTACTAAGCTTCTTCGTTTCATCGCTTCTTGGAACCAAATAGCGCTCACATTCTCGGATCATGGACGCCTCTGCTCTCAGCGGCAAGCACTCCGGCCAATAATAGATCCCAAGCAAGCACGCTAGACGTTTGATGCACTCTGAACTTAGACAACGGTAAAGTAGAATGGCACCATTGCACAGGATGCTGAAGTTGTTTGAGACGTGTTCGCACCCGTTCAAGCACGTTCGCGTGCCAATCGTTTTAAACTTAAGGACTTGCCAGCCTGTCTGAGTCCTCATCCCAACACCATTGAAACGACTTTGGTCCTCTGGCAACACGTTTTGCAGCATCTCTCTAATTGCAGTGAGAGCGGGCTGCAACCCAGGCAAAATGGAATCCATATTCAAGTCCGAGCCCCCTGTTGATTCTTCAGCTTGTGTGTACTGATTGTTGGGCGAGCTGATGCGCCTGTTCGAGTTGCTGAGGCTTTTGTTGACCTCCACATTTCCCGTTGTACTACCGACTGCCTTTGTTGACGTGTCGTTCAGGAATCGAACCAACCACGGCGGCATAGCGACTCGTGGTGTGGTTTCATCACCTTCTATCCAGGAATAGCCAAAGGCTCTGCCCTTGTTATCTTGGTAACTCGAGGGGCTTACAAAAGCTATTCCGTTGCTTCCACGACCATCAATCGCCCATGTAGTACCTTCGTGAAGGATTGTCGAGAAGTTTAATGGATTGAGAAGCCCTTCGGTCTTGCTTGCAGAGAAAAAGTAGTGTAAACCGTTTCCTGAACCTGTTCTTGCCTTTAATGTGATGATGTCACCGTGTTTCTTTATCAATTCCTCCCACAGTTCTGTTCCAGCCTCCTTCCCTGCGTTCGTGTCTGTGGCCTCCTTCCTTTCTGCGTCTACATCAAGCAGAAATATGTCCGAAATCCCACACAGGACCGCCAAAGCGTTCACGTTCGATGGCGCTCGGCAAACATAGGCATCGATCCTCTGTTTGTATGCCTCGGTGGACGTCCATAATGGTTTGTACCCTCCTTTACTGAAGATGGGCTTCTTTTTCCCATCCGAGTCCATTTCGAGCCTTAACGGGATGGCATACATGCCTTGCTTGTAGAGCGATCGGATCGACTTTACCAAAGGGTACTTGTGTCTGTTGATCGATCTCCTAGGGGTGTTGATGGTGGTATCGTCTGGTTCGAAAAGTGCCCCACTCTGATCGACAACCAGCAGCCGAATGTCGGCATTTGGCGGCATGTCAGTTGATAAATCGGGGTTCTTCGTTGGAGCATTCATACTCGGCACCTGCTGTGGCTTCGGCACTTCATTCGGTGGTGCTGTGGCCAAAGCAGCATCTAGGGTCTGATGAGGCCTTGAGCCACTTGCTAGCACACCGGTTTGGAAGGTGCTGATCATGGCGGGCTCCATCTCTTAGTACATTGTCCCAAGATTTTTTCACGAGGCTTTTCGAACGCGGTTGCGTTTGAACCAAAGCATATTTTCTGCGCAAGAAAGTAGGAGCAATCCATGGAACTAGCCGACCTCACCAGCAGAGAAACGACCAACATGGGCTGTACCTGCAAGAATTGCCTTTATGTGAAGCACTTTCACGAACGGCATCCAAATGCACACAAAACGTACATGAAGCGCCATTACACGAAAAAGAGGACCGAGATTCTGCTAAGACAAG